TATAATATATACATAATATATATATATATATATATATATATATATATATATATATATATGATTAGTAGGAAGTATGATGAAAAATATATTTTACTTTTATTTTGCATTTACTGAATACTTTGAATATGAGAAAGGTATGTGTACAGATATTATACTATTTATATTTTCATTTTCAATATTTAAATTAGTTCTTGTCAACTTACTGTTCTGTTAGATCACCTTTTATTTATAATATGAAATTACATTCTGCTCTTCCATTAAAAAAGTAAGAAAGTAGAAATCATATAATGATGCTAAAACACAGCAGTGGATTAGTGTACTAATCAAAACATATTGAAAATTCTTCTATCTTCCCTGACATTATGAATAAGCTAAGGATCATTAACAGGTGCTTCCAGGCCGAGACCCTCAGACTGTCGCAAGAAGAGGACCAGCAGTGTTTGTCACGAACTTGAACTCCAGTATTACCACCAGGCAACCCCAAAGCTCCTTCAGTATCCATGCAGAAAATACGCAAAATCTCCAAATGCCAATGCCTCTACAAGGAATGCATTTTGAGTGTCCACACTGTTCTTTTGCAACAACCTCTTCTGGTCACTTAAAGATACACATACGCAGCCATTCCAAGTCCCCCTACGAGTGCATGTACTGCTCATATAAGACTACACAAAAATCCATTATGAACAGGCATTTGCAGATCCATACAGGTGAAAAGCCCTTTGCTTGCAGCCTTTGCCCATATCGCTGTAATCTGAAAGGCAATTTGAAAATTCATTTAGAAAGACATAAACGGATGGGACAAATGGAAAGTGACAAGTGAAGCAAGGTAGAGGAAGAAAATGTTTTTTTATTAGGTAGACCAAGAAGTATTTCAATTATTCTGAAATTGAATTATATAACCTTTGAGGTGAAAAATAGGTTTGGAATGATAGTATTATAGCTGTATTTGAACACACTGATATACAGCAAAGCCTTGTATTTGGTTAGTAATTGGTAGTAAAAGAAATATATATATCATCATCATTGACATTGTCTTTACCTTTATCTTTATAATTCTCACTAATATCATTATTAAGATTACTACTAGTATTACTATTATCATTATTGTTATTACTAGTACCACCACTATTATTATCATTATTATTGTTACTATTTTTTTTATTATTATTATTATCATCATAACCCGGTTATATCATTATTGTTATTGTTATCATTATAATTATTATTATTATGATCATTACTATCATTATTATTATTATTGCCATTATTTCCATATCTATTGTTAGTGTTTATTAATCTGTGTGAGAGTGTACGTATGAGTGTGAGTTTGATTGAGTGAATATGTGCATATGTGTTCGCATGTGTGAGTGTGTGTGTGTGTTTGTATGTGTGTGTGATTGTTTGAATGAGGGGGGGAAGAAGGAAAAAAAGAAAGGAGTTCAGAGAATCAGTGAGTCATAAAGTGCAAAGGGTGTGAAAGAACCTCTCCTTGTATTATAACAAAAGTAAGTATTGCATCATCCATTACTGCCAGCTATACAAAACCTATTTAGTTCACCCAAAAAGATTTAGTAACATCTCTGAAACACATTAATGTCTGTTATTAAAAGGGAAATTTAGAACAATTTATATGCTACATATATTGTACGTATTTACTTTAGTATGTTATTATTATTAGAAATATGGAACATCCTCTTGTGATATCGTAGTCACACACTATGTAACATTCTCTTCCGTCTTATAATTTCTACAATAAAGCTGTATGCATGGTGTATGCAAGCATATTTCCTGAGCTTAAACCTAAAAATGGTATTTATTTTAATACAAAACTTATTTTGATAGCAGATTATAACCATAGGTTTACTTCGGAGATACTACTGGCATATGATCTCTTTAAAATGTTTACCTCAGTTTTATACATGTTGAATGTTTTTAAGCTTCCATGAAGCTTGACTGAAAGGAATATGCTATATTCCTTGTCATGCTAAATGTAATTATGTTTTAAAATATATGTGTTTGATAAACTGATAAGAGTCAGTAAGAGTGCTAGGACATTATGATATGTGATTGTATCAAGATATACATGATTTTACTGTATTTTATACTTTTAGACCATGAAGCATGTACCTACAAAATACAGAAATAAAGTTATTTATTCACTGAGATCAACACTATTTGTATCCTTGTTCATTCATGTAAAGTATGAAACCCATATTGCAACAAAACTTACTTCAAACTTCAGCCACTACTTTGAAAAAGCCAAGTTATTGTATAGCTTATTATGTTAGAAATGAAAATATCTCTGCTTCCCTCTTCACTTACAACCAGTCCGTTAATATATGCTATAGATCGAAAGCTATTATTGACAAGGAAATAATAGTGACAGATTGGAAGATATAGTTTGTAGGTTCATTTCTGCCACAAAATTTAATTTCCCCTACACCTAAAAATGGGTAAAAATAGCTAAAGCTCTACAACAACTTTTAGCCAATTTCAAAAGATTGCAGACATAATGTATCATTATCCTTTTTTCAATATAGAAAGAAATTTGAAGATAGAACAGAGATTACAAGGAAAATAGTTTTATTAATTTCAAGCTATGGAAATACATACACACATATACTTCATAAGTAATAGTCAAAGTTCAAAGGAAACCCATTTCATATCACATTCTCTCTTTATTATAATAAGTTCTATAATCATAATTATCTGCAAAGATGTCTTAGAAATTTAGGGTCAAACTTTATGCATCTATGGTATTTGATTCCTATGTGTACTGATTGAAGTATTCAAATTCTTCTTTTTTATGAAAGGAATTTATTAGATTTTAGAGGTTATTTCATAGCCAGTGTGAAAAATATGTTTAGGTTTCTGTGTCCCCTAAATTTAAGTCTACATTTTTTCAGTAAAAGTCAAAGTAAAGTCTTGATATTTGACATGTAAACATATTAGTAATATAAACTATGATTATTGTATGAATGAGCACTAGTGAGACAGAAAGATGTTGCCAACAGGTGGATCTGGAGAGAGCTAAGGAACGAAGTAGCGTCTACAGTGGGAAGCTTCAACTCAACACCAAGATTCACCATTGTCCCTACTGCGGCTACTCCACCATTAAGACTACAAACCTTATAAGACACATCCATACCCATACAGGTGAAAAGCCCTTTGCCTGTCCTCACTGCCCATTTCGAGCTACTCAAGAAGACAATCTAAAGCGACATGTGCGAACGCACACTGGAGAGAAGCCCTATGCCTGCTCTCTCTGCTCATACAGATCAAGGCAACAAAGTAGCCTCAAGAGACATGTGTATACACATCACAACTAAGGTAATTACGATAATATATACTCCACATATCCATCTGTTCCCAGGCCATGGTGTAGATTGAAGTTGAGAGAAGTGCATTTTGTGAAAAAGATGAAAGTTGAGTTTCAAAAACTAAAGGTGAAATTGAATGGCATTAACTGAGGTGTATTTACTATTTTACACAGATTATCATAGATACTGATAATAAAACTAATAATTAGAAGTTTCCTGACAGTCATTTTCTTACCTTTTATGTAAGTTTTAAAAATACTGTGTGCATTTAGAGTTATTTAATTCCCCTCAGTATCAAAAGAGCTTTACTTGGAATGCTTCTACTGTAAATTATTGTGAACTAAAATATGTGGTTGTATATTTTTCAAAAGCAACATCTGAAAATGAGACTGTGAGATATTTTTTGTTAAATGTTTTAATGTTTTTATACATAGTTCATATATTTTACTTTATAGTCAATATCTTTTAATTATTTAGAAAACAAAGATTATTTCATGTAGTTTGTGTAATTCTTTTGAGCATAAATATTAATATATATATATTTATTCTCCAATATTAATCAATATTAATATAATGTGTTTCTTTAACACCATAAATATTTACTTTTACCATAACTAATATTTACCGGAATCAAACTTTATTGCTTTTAAAATCAGTACAAAATATAGTTTTTACATGAAACTTATATTCTTGGAATCTGTATAAGTACCACATCTTAAACTGTTTATATTGACCATAGCAGCACAAAGCAAGAAAACAAAATCAATTTTCAATTAATGATTAATCACCTTGACATGAAGAAAAGTACTCAAAGCATACAGTTTATTTTTTCTTTTTGCTCTTACTTTTCCTCATTACTGCTTCAATTTCTTTTTCATCTTGTTACTTCCATAATAACAATATGTCTGTTATTAGCTGCATGATATGTAATGTTATCCAGATTTAGAAAATAGAGAGCTGTTCAACATATTGCTCCAGTATTAAATACTAGAGTATAAGCAGTAAAAATAGTCCTCTTCCTACTATTTCCATTCTTCTTCTCTATGCTCCTTTCCTTTTTTAACTGCTCTGTGTCTGATATTATTCTTTTTTTCTTCTCTCTTATCTTTACTTGTCTCTGCTTTCATGACTTTTTCTCAAAAAGATTTGTACCCTCTAACTTATACTATGGTCTGAATCTTATGAAATGTACAATTATGATTCATAAGGACAACTCATTCCAGTATTAGATTATCACTAAAATCTAATTTGTACTGTTTAATAAGCACTGTATTCTGAAAGTACGTTGGGCGTCCCCCACAGGTGTCAGTGGACCACAACACCCTTGGCACCTCCGAGGGCAGACCAACAAAGACCATAGGGATTGCCGAGGCAATAGGAGCTACAGGCTGCAAGAATTTCTCCTCTGCTACTCCCAAGATCCGATCCTGCCCCTATTGCTCCTTCACTACAACCATTGCCACACAACTCTCTGAACACCTGCGGAGCCACGCAGTCAGAGAGTTATTCCCATGTCCACACTGTCCTTTTCAGTGCTTTCAGGTGGAGAGCATCAGGGCTCACATACGGACACACACTGGTGAGAAGCCATTCGGTTGCGCCTACTGTTCCTATAGGTCAGCACAGAAAGGGAACATGAAGAGACATGTGTTAAAGCATCATACCTAAGATATCTTACATTGATACTTAAAATGAATAATCCAGCAATTGTGAGGACAACTCAGCAGTGTAGCAATTATAGTGTGCACTGGTTATAGTGAAAGTGAAGATGTGGTATGGATGTGTATATGATAAATTCTTATCTGCAGATGTTTAATCACATTCCTAAATCTTTGTTTAATGACTTCTTAGCCTTTCATCACATACTGTGTGACAATTAAATTCTTTTTGAAAGTGTCTAAAATAGATGAGTTCTTTATTCTGCAAAGTAAATTACTCCTTCCATTATTACTTTAAATTAATGGTACAATATGTTCTCCAGCATTCATAAATATACCAAGAATCATGTGATAACATTCACTGGAAAATATACATTTATGATAACTTTTTTTCTCCTTAATTTTCAACCTATAATGTAGGATTTATAAGGACATAGGGGAATATACAGAGAAAGACTATTAAGTGGTCTTTGTCATTCAGAATAATACCTAGATTTCTATTACATGTACACTAGATTTTTCTTTAAACCTTCCTCTGTGTTGATGATATCATTTTATCTGCCTCAAGGCATTTGTGATGTTAATTCACTAAATGAACTTTGCAAAATATCTTTTTACCTATTTATATTTAACACCAATGTCTAAAAACTGCCAAAATTAATAGTTACTAGGAATATAAATTTTGTACCTATTGTCTAAAAGATGTAAAACAAAGAAATAATGTTAATCTTGAAGAAAATTAATTGCTGATGTTCTCATAATGAATAAAATATGTACTGTATGTATATTCTTTTTAGTCTTATCTTCACATTCCAGCTAAGCGCACATATATATAAATACATAAACCATTATAGCATGATTAGCTTGTTCATATGAACCTACATAGCATTTTACAACCATATATTCAATGATTATTTGTCAAAGAATTTCCATAGCTACTAAAAATTAAAATCAGTGAAGAAAAGGGGCAATGTCCTAGTCTGTATTCTATATTTCAAAGAAATGACCAATATATATTCTTTTATGGACCTGAAACAAAACCAGCACCACACAAGTCAGATAACTCGGCTCTGGCTAATATGCCACCATTTTACACTTTTCATACATATAGGAAAAATCACAAAAACATATTGAAAAATAATTTAATCAACTTTATCCTTTATCCAGTCAACAGCCAAAGCACTTAAACATGGTAATGAACCAATTACTCTTTTCCTGCTCTCACCCCATCACCCAATTTATTTATGTTTCTCCATGATTGTTATTCCCAATGCAACATTTGTAAGCTGTGAAAAAATAATTTTTTGCAGTTATTTCAGATAAATTTTTAAAATATCCATTTTTTGTGGATGAGTAAGCAGATAAGACTTCAAAACACTAACAAGGTTACTTCACTATTCAATGAACCTTTGGACACAATCTCTTGGTTCTTAAAGTTGGTAGCTCGGCCCCTGTATGGCTTAAAATAGTATTGGACAAGATTAGGGTAGTGTCACCTGACCTATTCAAAGCTCAGTTAGCACTTGGCTTTTATGGTAAGAACTTTGGTTTTGGTGTCATGTATTAGAAACAAGGGTGTCCCAAACATCCCAGAACAAAGGCAGTTTGTGGTGCCATAACAAAATATCTGGGCACTAAGTAATGCGAGATAATGCATTATTATTGGTGGTATTGGATACCCTAGTACTTTGGCTAAAAAGAGGGATACAAAATAAATGCACTAATGAAGAACTGGTATATTCTTTGACATTGTCATGTGTGACATGTTTTGCAGATCATAGCCACCCCTTCTCTTCTCACTCCCTCATTCACTCACTCACTCACTCACTCACTCACTCACTCACTCACTCACTCACTCACTCACTCACTCACTCA